CAAATACATAAAGTCACATTAACTTCTCTGTATAATTTTGGAGGAAAGGGATAGAAAAGTCTGTCTGCATCAATCCAATTTCACAGTTCTAAATTTCCCTTCTCACAGTAATATCACTCAATTTGTTAAAGATTGCTATTAATACAAAGAGGCTGAATTAGATTTTAAATTATCTTAACAGGCAACTTTTCTGTATGAAAACATGCAAACCAACTCTTGTGTTAGATGTAAATATTCTGAGTAATAGTCAATTAGTGTGGCATTTTTGTACTTCACGTATCTATTAAAAAAATTTAAAAATTCCCCTGGAAAACAACTTGCGTCATATACAGTAACTCATAATTCCAAGCCACAACCAAAAACTCATATCTAAAGTTCAGATACATACTGTTATTTATACTGTTTGCCATATTCAGTTTCACTCTATGATAGTTAAAATTATATAAATCATCATTATAAATAATTATGTTATGTTAATTATGAAATTGTTTTATTTCAAAAAAACATATTAAATGCATTATACTAAGACAGACACAGAGGTCTTGGAATTTAGTTATACAGATATGGTGATCAGCTTCTGCATCTCACAAGGAAACATTTTGTCAGCTGTAATATGGGAGGGTTTGAAGTTTGTTTTACTTCATAAATGCAATTGCTCATGGGAATGAAATCTCCATAATAAAGTCTGCCCAGCCCTATAGAAAGGGCTTACAAGTATATCTAATATACAGAAAAATTGCAATTGATTACCAACATAAAATAAATTAAACACAAGACAGTACTTATAACATTCCAAAAAAAGGGGGAAAAAAACTATGGAGAAAGTTTAGACAGTAGTCCTATGTGCAAAGCACACTGAAATAGATAATGGAATGAGGGATATGAATTCATATGAATTCTCTAACCTGCACAAATGACTCATTTAACTAACCCAAAGGATGTTAGATATTGCCCCTAACAGGCACAATCTTATTATGGACTATATTTATCTGAGTTATATTTATCTAGGTTACCTGAGGAACTAAATCTCCACAATTATATCTGCCTGTGCCGCTAGGTTTAGCAGAGAGGGCATGCTTTGTGTCCCATCTGCTAGGGACTTACATTTGGTGGTCCCAGGAGGTGGGTCCTCTCTGTTGTAGGGTCTGCCTCTGAAATCTTCTCTCCCCCCCTCCCCCAAGCGAGGTTAGTTTCATCCTGCTAATGTTCCATAAGTCCCTCAAGACCTGCCTTTGTCATTAGGCTGGAGGTCCTAGGGGACTGGGGATATTTTTAGATGGCTCTTTTATTCATTTATAATCTTTCCTATATGATGGTTTGCATTTTCAAGAATGATTTTTAAGAATCATATTTTAATAATGATTGTTTTTATATATAGTTTTCTTTTATTGTTGTATTGTTATTTTGTTTATTGTTGTATGTCATCCAGAATCCTCTGTTGTAAGATGGGCAACTATATACAATAGATTTATTTTAAAAAATACATATTCATTCCCTAGTCAATTATTCTGTGTATCAAAAAGCAACCCCTAATTACTGGGGAATTAGTTGATCTTATTCCTGAGACAAACCCAACCAGACAGAACTTATGAAAACTCCTGTCCATCTCCTCAGTGGGCTCTTCCACAGCCCAGCAAGGAATGTATGAAAGAGGCAGAAAGAGGTGAGGGGTGGATAAGAATCTACCACAAAGAACCAAGTAATATCATACAATTGAAACAATACTCCAAAGCAGGGTGAGAGTAGAGAATAAGAAAATAATTGTATTTGGAAGTAATAGCCTTCCAGCCTCCTTTGTAGCAGCTAAAGCTAAAAGATAGATCCACACAACATGTGACATGTGGTACCAGCATACAAAGATGATTTTCTTGATTGGAAAAGAGGTCTCAATCATGCACAGTGTAAACACAAACACAGACTATATCTATCCAAAAACTGGTTGTCTATCCCCAATAAATGCAGACTAAAATGCTAATCTTAAAAATATTTTAATAAAGGAACAAATGAATATCAACAGGTTTGAAAACAAGAGCTACAGGTGGCTTCAGATAAGTATTGTCTCTTTACAATACTTACTTTCACAACATAAAATTAGTTGTTTACAAAAGTATAATACTTGCAAAGATAAAGGCATTATCTATGTATTCAGAAGACACACAAAAAAAGGCTTCATATCACATAAAGTTTTCACTCCTGTAGAAAGATTTTGTTTGATTAAAAAAATATCCAAATATTGTGAACACATTCTAAACTGTTCCAAGTCACTTAACTCCCCAAATAATTTGCTGCCTAAAAGTTTAAACTTCACACAAATAACTATTTCTATAGAAATAATTAACATAAAAAGTCTGCAACAACATATGGCAATACTTTAATCATAAACAAAACCTGTGAGGATACTGAATAGGTAACTTCTAAACTTAACCACATGAAAGAAATATCAGTAACAGTTTTAGTCTTTTGAAAGAATTTCCAGCAATCTGGATAACAATCAGAATAAGAGCACGGATACCCCAACTTCTCATAAATCTATTATTTTTACAGCACTGCTACACACACAAATCTGAATGTTTACACTCTTCTTACTGTACCATACAATTCCACATCCAAATATATTGATAAATTGAAGATTGTTAATGCCCCTTTCTCTTATCATCTCTTATTTTATTTAGCAGCATTCCTGAAACCAAAATGGCAGAAAAACCCAAGCTTCCAATTATATCTAAATGTCCCAAGAAATATTCAGTAACTTTTGACTTATAAACAGGCCATATTATTAACAATATCAAATATTATACCTATACAAACATTCAATTTTATTGAAAGGTCACAACACAAAATACCAAGTTTAAACACCTTTCTCTTCCAGTTATTTCATGCTGCTACCACTATGGTAAATCAACAAGTTAACTTTATTATAATTAAGAATGGAGATATTTCAATATGACTATGTACCTTGTAGAGGTGCCTTTCCTGACATCACATATGCTGCATTTGAAGGCTTCAGCGCTGTTTCTAAAGGTGCAGACACTACAATCCCAAAAACCTTCATCAGCTACAGGTTTAGCTTGCCTTTTGGGTCTTGAGAAGTGCATATATGAAGAAGGGTAAAGGAGGAGAGAAGAAATAAAACATGTTAGAAACAAGATAATAAAACAAGGCCATTTCATGTTACATTCTGCTTGTCTGCTTTTTTCTTTTCCTCTGGCTAAAAAAGTAATCACATTTTTTGGAAAGAGGTAAAAGGGAGGGGGAGCAGGAAGAGGTGCAAAACATTTATAAACCTGAACCACACTGTGCTTTACTCTCACCAGATACATATTCTGCTTTCCCCCATTACTATATCCCTGAGTGAGAGAGGAAAGGATAACATTTCCTCTCAATCTTCAATCCCAAGACAATCGATTTTCACTCAACACTGAGTACCAGTGAATCTAGAAGGGAAGGGAAAAGGATGGTGAAAGGCATCTGAGAGGGCTTGAAACCCTCCCTCTTTTTTTGGTGGGGAGGGGGAGCTTAATTGTACTTTAAAGGATTGTAGGCGTGTCCCTCCATGCGCCCCCTCTGTCTGTCTGTCTGTCTCTCTCTTTTACCTTGTTAAATCTCCCTTTGTCTGGAAGAAGTCAGTGAGAGGAGATGTATGTGTGTGAAAAGAGAGTGAGGAGCCGCCATAGCTGCTCTAACACCAGATTAGCCCTGGCACCGACACACATACATACACAGAGAGAGAGAGAGAGAGAGAGAGAGAGAGAGGAACACAAACATTTGCTCTCCGCTTTGCTTTTACACACTCCCTCCATCTTAAGAGCCACCCTGGGCACCGAATGCAGCCTCTCCCCCCCCTTCCTTACGTCTTACCACACAAGGAGCTTCCAGCTTTTCCTCCTCTCCACCCAACACCATTGAAAAAAAAAAAAGGAGTTTTCCGTACCTGGCTGGGAGGGAGGCAGGCAGGCAAACAAATAAGGCTCTCTTCCTTACTCACTTCCTCCATCTTAAAAGCCCCCTCCTCTACCACCACCACTACTACTACTACCACCACCACTACTACCACTCTGTGGCCTAGTCCCCACACGCAGCGCCTCCCCAGAGCATAAGGCGGAGGTGGGTGCTCTTAAGCTGGCACCCGCGCATACTCTTTTCTATTCCCTTTCCACAGTCCCTCCATCTTAGGAGAAGCTCTCTCTCTCTCTCTCTCTTTTAAAGCCCGCTTCGCCAAAGCGCCCCGACTTCTTTACCCTCTTCCTTACCTGGTCGGGCTCTTCTTGTCGCCCATGGTCATGGATCGGTGGAGACGGGGCCCCCTCTCCTCGCCTCGCGCACCCGAAGCGGAAGGCAACGGGGCTGACTCCTCCGACCAGCAGGCTCCGGCGGCTCCTCAGCAGCCGCCGCCGCCGCCGCTCCTGCCGCTGCCAGGCTCCCGCTCCAGACTAGGCAGCGCAGGGAGCGCAGCCCCGCTCTTCTTCCCCTCCCTCCCTCTCTCTCTCTCTCTCTTTCCAAGCCAGGCAAGCACGGCTACAGCGGGCGGAGCTCGCGGCCCTCCCCGGCCAATCCGGGCAGCTCGGCCTTGGGCTACCGCTGGCGCGAGGGAAGGGGAACGTGCAACCTCCCCCCCCCCGCTCCACCTCACACACGCGCACCCCCTTCAAGCCCGTCAGTCGCGGCGGCGGCGGGCAAACGGCTCCCTCGGCGACGAACGGAGGTCGCCCCGATTTCGTGCGAGAACCGAGAGGAGCGTGTCGCCGTCGTCGTCGTCGTTTGGGCGGCGCCTGGCCACCCACAAGGCCAGCATGTGACCCCGCCTCGGTTCAACCGCCTGCCGCTGGGAGCCGAGAGGGTGGCCGGTGTGTGCGGGTCGGATCTGTCCCCCCGCCCTCCGGCGAAAGTGTGGCGGGGAGGGGGAGTGAGTTAGTGGGTGGGTGGGTGAGGGAAGAGGCGTGCGCTTCGCCCTCCCCTGTGTTGGTGTGTCTGCGCCTCAAAAGGGGATGTGGGATGGGGGGGGGGAGAGAAACAAGTGTGAGGAGTCGGTCGGAAGAGGACGCGGAGGAGCCCGCCGCGTCTCTGAAGTTGCTGGCCCCCCTCGCGTGAAGGTGCTTTCAAACTGCCGCCCGCCTGTCAACGCCCGCGTGGTCTACCCCGGATTTATCCCGTTAAAGCGTGTCACCTGGCTCGCGCGGTGGCTGTTGCCCTCTCTGACGCCCGCGTGTGCCAACCAAGGGGGGGGGGGGGGGGCGGGCCGGGCGGCCGGTTAACGTAAAAAAAGGAGGAGGCGAGCCCACCCCCCCCCCCCCACTTTAGCCCCGCTGGAACATGAATTGGAGAGAAGACATGCCCACCACACACCTTGACCCTCCGGACTGTGTGATTACTCGGCCTCCTCTGGAAACTACACCCCCCCCCCAAAAAAAAGTAGGGGTGGTGCGTTGCCAACGCTCACATACACTTCGTTTAGCCACCGGTACCAACAGCCTTCAGAGTCTTCCTTTCAGTCACGTTTTCTGGGAATTGAGAAATGTGTCAACATTTGCTCTTCCTATGTCATTTACCTGCGAAGCTGCATTATTCAAGGTTACTCTGCAAGCAGTCCTTGATACGCTGGGTGCACGCCGCCCCGCCATGGAATTGCATCATGCATGTAGATGAATTTCAAGTTAACAATCTGGGAAACCAATTCGGGTGGTTAAAATGCAGCCAATTTTTAAATTTCTGTCGTCTCAGGATTAAATTGTCAGTGATCTATTAAGAGGTCATAACAGGAGAGTCATGTCAGCCTAGTGGAAAAAAAGCCCAGTGGGGGAAAAAATGTTATCACCTTTTCTAACTTACAGGGATTATTAAAATGCAAACCCTTCTGATTTATGGCAGATACATTTATCCCATGTATATATGTTTACTTGTGAATATTTTCATCTGTTGCAGAAACTAGTTCAAAATTAGATGTACTATTAGAGACATGAAGTCAGAAAACTTTGTCAAGACCATGAAGACACTTTGAATCCACAAATCACAGAGGAGAAAGAATATGCCACCAAACTAGCACCTCAAAGAGCTTCTCTGTTTCCCTCAGAAATTGAATCTCTTGCATATATTTCTTTATTGCCAACTAAGCTATACATACATATATACATTTATTTATTGTTTATTGCCTATCAATCTGATATCTAAAGATGAGAAGCTTTATCCATTAGTATTTTTTCCTCTCAATGTAAGGTTTTGTAACATGTAATTTTGGAGTGTAACTTCCAGAAAATCCCTAAAATTTACCTGAAAATTAAATATTTCAATATCACATAACAGAACAATTATTAAAGCTAATAATTTTCTTGTTTTTTGATATCTTAAAATGTATAATTGTATAATTTATAATGTATAATTTAAATTTCTCTTTATTCTTGCTTTTCCATTATGAAATAAAGAGCATAAAACAGTATTTTTTGCTGCTAGAGATTTCTTTGTGTGAGACATGATTCTGATTTTAGAAGCAGAAATCAGTCATTGTTTTGCCTAGATTTCCATCTTCAAAAATTTTTTGAAGAAAAAGTATGAAATCCTGTGATGCACTTCTGAGTTCAACAGTATCTTTGGACTGTTTTCATTCTTAAATATCAATCTTAGCTTTATTAATCCTCTCTAGAAGAAGAAAAGTATTCTGGAGATAAAATATGTAGTATATATTCTCTCTGAATATTCAGTCACAAACCCAAAGACCAAGCATGAGACAAAATCCTTGATTTAAAAAAAAAAAAAAAGGAAAAATTAATTAAAACTTGGCCATATGCACATTTACAAAATCTAGTTACACCAGCAAGTTTACCAAAAATTGACAGATTCTAATGTGTTTCAGAAGTTTAGGAGATTTGCCAATATAACCACTGCTAAATACTCCTGTGCCAGTATAATTATGTTACCTCATGGTGCCAAATAGAAGTGACTTTTATGCATCCACTTGTGGCGTATATTATAAAAAGTAGACAACAAGAAGAGCCTTTTAATTTTAGTGCTTAATGCAGACTTCAGTCTGCCTTTTCTATGGTTAGAAGCACAACTAAACAAACTTCAAGTGGAATTTAGTTGCAGGTCTATGCAACTGATACGTAATTCTCCTTCACATGTTTGTGTAAACCAAATGTTTACTACTTACCAAAAAGAATATTATTTTCATAAATTTATATGCCTAATGAAGCATGCAAAAATAAAATAGAAATATACAGATACAGATATCTACATGTATCTCAGTTCTATACATAACTAAAATGGGGCTTAATCTCAAATAGGTGCTTATAGGTTGGAATCTAAGGGTTTTGTGAAGATCCTTAATTAGCATGAAGTGGTGACTTTTTTGAAAAATAATCTTTCCATGACCCATTGAAACCTCTTGTAATAATATGATCCATCAAAAGGAAGACCCAAGAGCTTTAAGACTTGAGTCCCGATGTAGACGTTTTAAACTGGAGGTGGTTGGTGTAGGTGCAGCACCCCCGTCCCACTTGAACATGTGTTTTTAACCTATATTTAATACTTTGTCATTTTAATTGTTCTCATATTTATAATTGGTTTTTATATTGCTATTTCTATTACTTATAAACCAGTCTGTACAGTGAGATGGATAGCATATAAATTTAATAATAACATCAACAGCAATAACAACTGGATCACTGCTTGAATGCCATTGGAATTGACAAATTCGCCATCAGTCAATTGCAAAAGGCGGCTTTACTCAGAACTTCCATCCTGCGACGATATCTGTAACACCATCAAACATCCACATCTACCTACCCCTGGTCCTTGGTAAGAACTCGATAGATAGATGAAAATGCCAAATCCAGTCTGAGCATCTGGCTGATTGTGTGATGATGATGATTAATAATAATAATAATAATAATAATAATAATAATAATAATAATACACATCCAGAAAAGTGAAGAACCAATGATTAAGGAAGTAAATAAAGGAGGCCTTTTAAAGACAACTAAAACAAAAGCAGAATATAAGAAAGAAGTAATTGAGCAGTGAGCTGAAAATTGGAAAAGCAAAGCTCTGCATGGCCAATACTTGAAAAGTATTGAAGGCAAAACTGACCAGAAACTAACTTGGAACTGGTTAAGATCAGGAGTACTGAAAAAAGAAACAGAAAGCTTTATTTTGGCAGCTCAAGAACAAGCCCTAGCCACAAACTGCATGAAGGCAAAAATTCAACATGTTACCACCAACAGCAAATGCCGCTTCTGTAATGAGAAAGATCAGACAGTTGACCACCTGATCAGTGGGTGCAGCAAAATTTCACAAACTGACTACCTACAACGCCATGACCGTGTTGCTAAGATCATTCACTGGAAATTGTGCCAGAAGTTTGGATGGGAACATCAGGTTGAGAAAGTTTTAGAGAATGAGAAACTCAAGATCTTGTGGGACTTTAGGATTCAGACTGACAGGCACTTGGTCCACAACACACCTGACATAACAATAGTTGAAAAGAAAAAAGTATGGTTCATTGACATTGCAATACCTGGTGATGCACGGATTGAAGATAAGCAGCAAGAAAAAATCACAAAGTACCGGGACTTGCAAATTGAAGTTGAGCGACTGTGGAAAAAGAAATCGTGTGTTGTCCCGATTGAAATTGGAGCCCTTGGAGCAATACCCGAAGGGCTACCCCGCTGTTTAGAAATTCTAAATTTGCCGGACTTGAACATTTTGACTCTACAAAAAACCACCTTACTCGGAACAGCTTACATCCTCCGACGATACCTTAACAGTTCCTAGGTCCTTGGTTAGGACTCGAGCTGCTGAGCTATTAACCAGCCTCAAAGGCTGTGAATCTCACTAAAGATTAAATAATAATAATAATAATAATAATAATAATAATAATAATACCTGTTGGTTTCTGTGAAAATACGATTCAAGTATTAATTAAAGAAATATGGACAATAGCTGACAAATACTAATTTTATTTTGAGAGCAAGTTCTGGATGCTGCTTGTCCTGATTCAGCTGTTCTGTGTGATTACCTTCTCCATAACAGGCAGACAGGCAGCAAAGAAGAGGCGGACAGGTAGCCAAAAAGTGAAAATAAAGAGCACCAGTGCCTGCTGCCTTGCTTACAGATGCATCTGTCCAAAGGAAAAAGAAATGCTCTACAATCATATTGAGCCTAAGTATATAAGAGACATGTAGGTAGATAAAAGTCTTGCAAGCTGCATAACCAACTAGACTATATACTACATGCAAACCATGTTGAATATAACAGAAAAAGGCAATTTGAGAAGGAAAAGAGATTGAAGAGCAGGTGAATGGAAGACAAGAGCAAAACTAAAGCAGAAACTGCTTTATTTTTTATTAACTAAACCTGGTTATCAGGTCTCAGAACCCCAGGGGACTGGTGAGTTAGTGAGGTGGCTCTGTTTGTTTTTATAGTTTTTAAAATATTTTTAACAACAATAATACTAATTACTTGAGATCTTTATTATCTAATTGTTTTGAGCTTTGTTATATGATGTCCAGAGGTACTTGTTTTATGATATGGGTGGCTATATGAATTCAACAAATAAATAAAAACTCAAAACTTTTTTTTTAAATGAAGGAATAGAGAAAAAAGAGAAGTAGCATAGATAAGCTGAACTTTGATAAAGATATCACATTTGTACTTTCCATGAAAGATAAAATGAAAGACTATATAAGTACCAGTAATAGTTATCTGGAAGAGAAAAAACAGGAACTCATGGCAATTTCGGCAATTGTAGGAAATAAATAGTGAAGATCCACATGTTCTAAAATCAGATAAATTCAAGGACGGCAGAGTTGTATGAAAGATTCAGTCTGCGTTCAGAAGAGGAATGCTTTCATGTACTTTTGGCAAATAGCAAGTTCCTCAGTTGTCCAGCTGGTGATTCTTTCAGAGCTGTTTGGGTGGTCAAACAGTCACTATAAGAAACTGACCTTGGACTCTACATTTAGAGCTTATTTTGCTCTTCTTTGCAGATGGCATCTTGTAAAACTGTAAATAAAAAGATTTCACAAAGAAACTAGAACTCTGGATAATACTGATAAGATTATTTGTTTTCCCCATGATACAAACCCTCTGAAGAAGAAATACTATAGTAATGAGAAATTGTGTCCAGGAAGAGATTTGGACAAGGTCATTTAAATAACAAAAAAAATTCAATTCATACCCTCCTTTATGTTAAACATCATTCCATACAAATGCAGAATAACTGTGAGATAAACTAGAATGCTTGGGCAGACTACAAGAACAATAATTTATTCTTTGAAAAGTTGTGCGTTTGTTTTCATTACAACATTGAGCTTTCATAGCAAAAGATTAATTATGTAGTTCTTCAGTCTTCTTTGTTTCTTAGCAAATATTATAACATTAGACACTGAAAGCCTGCCAGCCCTTCTTACGAGAGTGTAATTTCACATGATTTATAACATATGTGACACAAGGTAATTATGCTGTTCATGAAATACACTCTTAATATGTAATTTTTAGACCCAGTTTTGGGTGTTGTGTTTTTATCTAAGAACTTGATTGTGCAACTTTAAATCCGTCAAGAGATTTCAGTTTTGATTCCAGAGATCAGAGAACAATTCTTAGATTAATATAAAGTAGGGATGACTGTGATCTCATGTGGCTATTATCAAAGGTCACACTTCTGCATCAATGACTTTCATAGGATAGTATAAAGTGCTGCCATTCCTGTTGATTTATGCTGACATTTTAAATCCATCTCTCAATTCTGCCAAAGTTCACGCAAGTGCTTTTTCTTACCTGCTGAGGGGTAATCTTGTTTGCAAAAGGAGAAAGATGATTACGGTCACCATAGTTGTTTTGGTTTTGTTTAGCGCATTTGTATTCCCAGCCAATTATGTTTTATTCAATAAACTGTTTTATACAATACATTGTGTGGGCTAATGTAATGTGTATAGTAACTCATTTTTCATGTAGCGCTATGGTGGAGTGATAGTGGGACTATGAGATCTGAGTTGCAAAATTCCAGGTGTTCATTAGACTTTTTTGGTTGGTTTTTCTTTTCCTGCTGTCTTAATATTTGTCTGAATTTTTGCAATCCATCTATGAGACCTTTAAATGAAGGGTCTACGGACTAGCTAGTACTTGTAAGTATTCTATACCTGTAAAACCCTTGTTCTCTTTCAGTGAGAGATGGGTGCTGGGATTCAGAGCATTTCATTGTCTTCAATCAATATCAAGTATAGATTCTTAAATCAGCAAAGGATTTTTGAAGCAGATTTTCTCTATTGGATCTGGAATTCAAACCCTCTGCCCAAACCCCTGGAGAATCTGGCAAGCTAAAATTAGTAAATATGTGTGGATAGAAACATCTGAGTTCTTTTATCTTTTTTCAGTGGTGCTTTGCTTAGCTGGTAGCCTTATCATTATTTCCCTTCTCTGTCTCTCCCTCTTTGTTTTGCT